GTGTGGCCAGCCCTGTCCTGCTCCCACAGTTCTGCAGCCAGCTCAGGGCAGAGGGAAGGGCACAGGATGTGCTGGAAGTGCTTCTGCAGAGGGGGAAAGTGGATTTCTGCTGTGCCTCGCTTGGGTGGGGCAGCCCCGCACCTCTGGGCTGTAGGATGGTGCCGCTGGCTTCTCCCTGCTCCCCTTGGAGACCAGGGCATCCAGCTGGCACAGAAACCAACCAAAAGCGGCCCCGAGTGCCTTCTTGCTGAATGTGAAAATGAAGATGTGGGTTTTGCAGTGAGAAAGAAGAACTGAGAGCGGTGGGAAGCGCTGGCAGAGAGGAGCGGCTGCTCCAGCAGGATCAGCTGCTCTGGCAGGGCGAGCCGCCCGTGCAGCAGCAGCCCCGGGGCTCAGGGGTGCCAGCACCGGTGCTCTGCCTCTGCTGGGGACCCGGGACAGCCCAGCATGGCGTGGGGACCCTGCCATGCTGCAGCTCACTCTGGAGTAGTTTCAGCTTCTCTTTCCTGGCTGCCCGCTGAGCACGGCAGGCCTGCCCAGTTTTGCATTATTATTCTGCAAGGGGAAAATTGTGCCTGAGGGTGTCAGGGGAAAGTGCTCAGGTGAGTGCCCCACACAAAAGGTGTGAGAGGCTCCTTTTGCATCGGAGCTCTGCTCCCAGCAGCGGTCTGAACTTGCAGGTGAGAGGATGGGGAGGGAGGGTGAGGTTTATATGGAAACTCTGTCCCCAGCTCGCTGCCTGGCAGCTCTGTGCTTTGCTGCTTCGGGCTGGAAATGTCACTGCCCACGGGAGCTGGGGACACAATCCAGGCTCTGCGGCTCTTTCCCTCCTCTCTCCTTTGCTCCGCTTCCCTCGGAGGCTCAGGGCTCCCCTCCGAGGCTCAGGGCTCCCCTCCTTGTCCCGTCTCTCGTGCCCGGTGTGAGGACAGGGTCCCACCCATCCAAAGCCATCACCGGGGCTCCAGGTGACATCTGCAACCCACCCAGGGCCGCGGCACCTGCGGTTGGGTCAGGGCTCTTTGGTGACGGGGTGTGATCCAAGGACACTCCCGAGGATGCGAGAACTGTCCCCGTGCCGAGCCCGGAGGGGACAGAGCTCCCTGCTGGCCCCGAGCCCGGCCGGGCCTCCCGGGTGGGAGCCGCGGCTCCCGAGCGCCTTTCCCAGCACGGAGACCCAACCCCGCCGTCCCCGTCCTTCTGATCCCTCTTTGGCCGCCAATTAGCGCGACGTGAGAACTTGTCTCCTGCTGACGCGCCCGTGTGACTCCTCGGATGCTTTAATTGCGGTGTTTTCGGCGGCCGGGCGCAATGAAATGGTAATTGTCGTGATTGTGTGCCGGGCGGGAGCTGAGAGATGCAGCTCTTTGGCGGAGCCTAATTAGGAAATAGGGACACTGTTGGGAATGGCTCTGCGATGTGATTTTCCTAATGAAAGCCGCTGAATAGGCAGCCTTGTAATGAAGAACAGCCTCGCAAGGGCACTGCCAATTGCTCTTCTCTAGTGTTAATTTTGTATTTCCTCCCCATTGTTTCTAATACCCTCTTGGAAAAGCTTGAAGATAAAATGCTTTATTTCCTTGCGCCTCGTATCCTGTTTGGCAAGCGGCGATTGGAGCATGTGCATCTGGAATACATGAGA